TTTGAGGTATCATTGGCAAATATGTTTTCTCATATGGCTGGTTCCCTTTTCATTTTGATGATGTTTTATATAGCCATGCAGGAGCTTTTTATTTTGATGAAACCCCATTTGTTTATTTGTTCCTTTATGTACCTTGCTCTAGGGGACATATTGGTTAAAATACTGCTGCATGGAATATCTGAGATTTTCCTGCTTATGTTCTCCTCTAGGACTTTTATGGTGTCACAACTTACATTTAAATTTTTTATCCATCTTGAGTTTTTGTGTGTGTATGGTGTAAGTTGGTAGTTGGGTTTCTTTTTTCTTTTCTTTTTTTTTTTGCTTGTAGCTGTCCAGTCAAACATTATTTTTAAAAAAGAGGGTAATCGTGCAAGAAAAGAGGAGAGGTAGGAGGAGTGACTTACAATTAATTACAATATCATCAGCAATACCTAAAATAAAAACACTAGATAAGAGTTTATTTAAAAGGCCCCATCCAGCTTAAATTTCTCAGATTACACCTATGTACTTTTCAAACATATGATTTTACTGGCATGATTATATAACATCTGCATGTAAAAACAAAGTGATAGTCGAATTAGTTTCTTTTTTCCTATCCAATTTGTTTCTGTTTCCCCGCCAACAAAACAAATTGGCTAAAAATTGACAAGATTCTTCATGTTTCCAAATTAATCCTCTGGTTTATGGGGAAATGCAAAACTGTGGTCTATAAAAAGAAAAAAAAAAGCAAATGTAAATACGGACTCAACACTTCATACTTTGTGTCCTAAGATATGTCAGTTATTATCTTGATTTGTTGCTTCTGTTGTCCTTCAGTGAAGACGCCATCCAGAAGGCAGAGGGTAGCTGAGTGATTTATTCTACTCCTAATTCATTCCATTGAGTCTGCATGGAAGACCGGTTAAGAGCATAGATTTAGGAGTAAGATATCCCTGAATTTTTATCTTGATTCCACTGATTATTAGCTGTGTGACCACGGCAAGTTACTAACCTCCCTAAAACTTAATGTTCTCATATGCAAATAGGAATAATAAACCACCTCAAAGTACTACAAGGAATAAGGTGTGAGATGAGTAGGAAGCACTTAACATAATGTCTCATCCAGTGCTCACTGCCAAGTATTTTTCTATTTCTAAAATAATCATCTCATAACATGTATTTATTTTAGCACCTACTGTGTGGCAATTTCTTTTGACATGGATTATTTCTAATTCTCACAGCAACACTGGGGGTGGGGTGCAGGAAAGCACTCTCATTTACAGTTGGAGAAACTGTGGGTCAGAGAGGTGAAGTGGCCTGTTTCAGGTGGCAGAGTAATTATGTGACTGAGCAGGAGTTGAAACAGACTCAGCCAATATCAAAGCCTGTGCTTTCTACCAGGCTGAGGTGGGACACTCTGGGACATACATTCCTATGGTAGTGTGTGCCCCAGAGTGGGACAAACAAAGGGAAGGCAAAGCAGCTTTGGAGGTCTCCAAACCTCCTGGTTTAGAATAAATCCCCCAATTATGCTTGAAGTTGGAGAAGCTTTTCAAATCTCAACTGGACATTCTTTTCCCTTCAAGTTCCTTGAAATTTCCCTTTAAAGAGCATCTAGGAAAAGCCACTCTCATTAGCCAGGCTCTGGCTTTATTTTCCTAATAAACAGACCTCTAGTCAGACAAAAGAGCCTCCTTTATTTTCAATCAATTCTTGAACATTTCAGCTGATTCTCTTCTATTTGGCTTGAAATTGTGATCTGGGAATGGCTGGTCCTGCAAATTGTCCTCCCATAAGGAATGCCCCTTGAGGACCCTCAACTTGTTATTTTTAATCACTGTAATCTCCTTTTCAAAGGAGGGCATGGTCAGAAACAGAGCAGGCCTTTCAGAGCTTTCTAAAGCATAATTATTGCAGAGGGACAAGGATGGGGGAGGAGAAGGGAGAGTAGAGAGAAGTGGTGGGAGAGAGAAGGAAGTCAATATAGTACTAACAGCTTGGAAAAGGCTGAATAGTAATCTCAGTGGGATCCTGGCTATTGAGAAGAAACCCCATGTTTCAATGTGTGTGTGTGTGTGTGTGTGTGTGTGTGTGTGTGTGTATATATATATATATATATATATATATATATATATATATATATTTTTTATTCCAGGCTAGAATGCCTAAAGGGCATACTGGGGTGGGGAGCATGGAGAGCAGAAGCTATTTGGAGATGAACTAGAATACTAGGGACAAAGATTTGAGGAAGGAAAACAAGCCAGGGATTGATTCCAAGAATTGTGAGGAGCACTAATTCAGGAAAAAGTTAAAAAAAAAAGCAAATAGAACACTAGCAGAATTTTAATTTCCACAGCTCTAAGTCAGTACTCCAAGCAGAATACTTTTCACACAAGTATTCTAAGAAAGTATAAGCCAACAGAAAAATGTCAAACTAGGTCAGCACCCCCTTCTTCCCAACTTGGAGTGGTGGAATCAGGTTTGCTAATCACACAAGGCCGCAGTATGGTTCCTGCAAGGTCTCTCAAGATCTCTTAGCCAGCAGAAAGGAGAAAGGATGATTGCCTACCTAGTGGTTTGAGTGGGGGCTTCACAGTCCAAAAGGCTAACATTTTAGGTTGGAATTACTGTAAGGTGAAAGTCTAGTGCTCCCCTAGCTCCAGCTCCCACATCCAGGCCACCCACACCTAAGCAGCCATGGAGTCTCTCTGTCCCTGTGAATTCCTGATGTATCCCTCCCAGTGCCGGCCCGCTGCTGCCAGTGCTCAGCCAAGCTGGGAGGATGCGAGCGAGAGGCGAGAGCCTGCCAGCGTGGGAAGAGATGCTGGGTAGGACACTGGGCCTGGGCCCCAAACTTGTCTAAACTACCTAAAATATTCCTCCCATGCTTAAATTAGGAACAATCATGTTAGGCAAGACTCCTAACATGAAAAAATCAGTCATTTATTCAGTTAATTCTTGAGGACCCTGAAAACCACCATTCACTGGTCAATTGGACAGGTGAAGTACTGAGAAAGCCTTTTAAACACACACACACACACACACACACACACACGCACCCCAAATTTGACCAAGTACATCCCTCCATTATTAAACTAATAAAGGCTGCATATACGACTCAAACGAACACGCATTAAAGACCTTGGGGACTCTCTACTTTGTAAACTCAGTTACTCCTGACAACCACCCAGAGGGAGGATAAACAGCTACTATTTTCACCCTGGAAAATGGACTCGGAGAAAGTAAGGATTTGCACAAGGTCATACAGCTACGAAACTCAAGTCGATCTGACTCCAGAGCCACATCTTGCCCCGTGGAGCTGGAGCAGTTTCCCAAGAGAACACAGATCCTACGTTTGGGGGAGGGCTAAAGAGGCCAGTGCAGTTATGCCCTCTTCCCTCTGGTCTACTGAGCAGAGGCTGTCTCCCAGCTTGGCAGAGATGCTGTGGCCACACGTCGGTTCGGCTACTTCAGCCGCCCGCCCACTTCGCCAGCTCCTTCCTGCGCTGAGTCGCCAGTCCTCCGCCGAACGCCTTTCCCTTCCCGCCGACCCGCGCGCCCAAGCGCTGAGCGCCTCCCGGTGCCGAGGGCGCCTGCAAGCAGGCTCCCGGTCGCCCAGGTGGAGAAAGTCGGGGGCAAGAGCCGGGGAAACAGCAGAAGCGTTCTGAAAAGGGTGGCCCGTGGTTTTTGTCGCCTGTGTGGGCCGGGCGCCCGCTGACACTGCCCCAAACTTTCTCCACTGTTGCTCCCACAGCTTCCACCTGTGATGCTCTAGGAACCGGGAAGGCAGGGTGGGAGGATGGCGGCTGCGAACCCATTTGCCCCACCAGATGCCCCAACATCCCACTTTTCCCTGCTCGGTACCATAGTTGACTTATGGAGGAGCGGGCGGGAGCGCGGAGATACGCGCTGTGTCACTCCTCGCCCGCGGGGCCACAGGTGGAGCTGGGCAGGCTTCCTTGCCTGCCTCTGGTCCTGTCTCCCAGCTGGAGAAGGCAGCTGCTGCATGGGGGAGAAAAAGACGTCTGGGGAGATGGCCGGGCTCAGGAGACAGGAGGTGGGCCATGGGGATGGAGTCCGGGGTCGTCAGGTCTGTGCCGGTCGCGCTGCCAGTCCTGCCCGGAAAGCGCTCACCTGCTTGGACATCCCCTCCCCGCGCTCCCGAAAACCCGCTCGCATCTAGGGAGCTTAGGCGCCACATCCCTGGGGCACGGAGCCTCCGGGTTTCCGGAGCCAAGGCCACCCGGCCTCCAGGGAGCAGGCCTCAGGAATTCGGGCTTCCCTTTCCGTCTTCATCGTCTTCATCGGGTTCCCCTTTCCTCTCCGAGACTACCCAGAGATTTTTGAAGGCCCGTTCCAGTTCCGCCGGGAGCCTATTCTAGGAAATCCAGGGTCTCTTCCCTTGCCTGGGGCAGAAAGAATATTACTGGGAGTTCTTTCCAGAGACCCTTCCGAAAAGCTTCAGGCTCTTTCCCCCTTCTTCCCCGTGCCCAGTTAAGGGGGGAAGCTTAAAGTCCCTTTTCCTAAAGGGATCTGTCGGGGAAGCTGGAGTGACCGTCCCGCCGGGGTCAGTCAGAGACAAGCTGATATGTTCTCCTTCAGGAATGGGAGGGGGGGAAGCTGGAGTTCACCACCTTGACTGGGACCCATCTGGGAGAAGCCAGGGTCCTCTCCCCTCCAGAGACGGATCTGGAGAGAGGCGGGTCTCCACTGTTCTCCGGCAGTCGGCGGGCTCCCTCCCAGGCAGGTCCGTGACGCGCCGCTTTGCTTTAGCACACACCCGGAACCGCGAGTCGGAGGTGGGGGCTGCTAACCTGGCTGCGGGCCCCGCGACGGCCCCAGAGCTGGCTTGGGAACTGGCTCGCAGCTAGGAGGGCTGAGGGCAGCCAGGGCATTAGGGACCTTGCCCGGCTGCGCCGGCACGGTGCGCCCGTACGCTGTGCGCCCTCCTCCCGCACCGCGCGTCCAGCGCCCCCCGGGGGCCGGGTCCCGCGACCCCCACGCCACGCCGGGCCACTTACCGCGGTAGCTGTTTCCGGGCTTGTAGAAGTCCGGGTCTCCCTCCACTCGGAGGCTGAACTCGGTGTAGCCCTCGCGCCGCGTGCCTTGAGCCCGCAGGATGCGGCTGCAGTAGCCCTCTGACTTGGGCACTTTGTCCAGGGTCTCGTCGGAGAAGGCCAGCGCCGCGGCCAGGGGCAGCGCCAGGGCCAGCAGAGCTGGACTCCTGCTCAGCCTCAGGGTCGCCGGGGACAGCCTCATCCTCGCGGGCTCCCAACTTTGTGCCGCTGCTGCCGGCCCTCTCAGCACGCGACTCCTGCCCGAAGGGGTCCCCGCGGAAGCGAGACCTGCCGGAGCCCGGGCAGGCGGGAAGCGGGAGCTGAGAGCGGGGAGACGGTGCCTGCCTCGGTTTGGCGGCTGTGCTGCGCTGAGCTGAGCCGAGCGAGTGAGCGGCGCGAGGAAGGGAGGGCGGTGGCGAAGGAAGAGGGAGGGCTGGTTTTGCCCAGATCCCCGAGCGCAGCGCTGTTTTGTTTCCGAGCTGGCGATTAGCGGACCGGCGGTGTTTATTTTGCGACGCTGATTTCCAGGGTCTGGCGAGGAAGTCACAGGACACAAGGACACTGTGGACTCTGTCCCACCACCAAGGAGGCGGCTCCCCCAAACCCACTATACTCCGGATTGTGCGGAAGAGGGTACTGGAAGGAGGGAATGACAGAACTAACTTTTGTTGCACACCTACTCTGTGCCTGGCTGCATGCTGGGCGGTTTACTTACGGTGTCTGCTCACCTTCACACTTCCTGCACACAATGAACATGGCATTACTTTCACGCATTGTACAGACGCGCAAACTGAGGCCTCAGCCAAGTTGTAAAGGCGGGGTCGGATGCCATGACTATCTCTTGTTCTTTCCAAGGCGGCTGTTGCAACAAGTCAGACTGGAGGATGAGAAATGGACAGAATAACTGGGCCCTGCAGGCAGAGTGCCTATGGCCTGTCATACTTTTGGAGATTCCTGCAGTATTTTCTTTAAAGTCAGAAGAAAGAAAATTAGGTCCTGTAAAAGGTTTCACTATGTAATATCAATATACTTGTATTTATACCTATACAAGTATAGGGTATTTTACTACTGTTTTATGAAGAAAGGAATTCACAAAGACAAAAGTGCCTAATGTCCACAAAAGTCCTCATGTAGCCTTGGAAAGGAGTTTTGAAAGATTCAGAGAAAAGCCTGTGTTTTCTTGGCTTAGATTTTAGTTCAGGTTCTCCGGCCCCAGTGACAGATGCTGGGAGAGGAGCTGAGCCTGAGGCATCACTAGGCAGGGCCTCAGGCATCAACTTCCAGGCCACCCAGGAGAAAGGCCAGGTGAAGAAACTTCTCCCAGTGTTTCCCTGGGGACAGACCTGGATCAAACCTCAATTCTGCCACTCACCCACTTTGAGTCTTGGGAGAGTTATTTAACCTTTCCAAGCTTCAGTGTCATGCTCTGGAGAAGGTGTTGGTGTGTGCCTGTGGGCCAACACACTCCTCCTCTAGGGAGTGCTAGAATGAAATGGAATGACTCATATAAAACACTTGGGCTGGTCTCCAGTGACCATGCCCCCCATCCCTTCAATTGGTGAGTCTTGGCTGACCCTGAGAACCATAGCAATGTAGACCAGGCCTAAGAGGCCTTGGGCCTCTGCTTCCCCAGCTGCTCTCAGAAGCTTTGATTACCCAGCTCCCCCTCCCCCTTCCCCTGGGCAGTCAACAACGCACATCAAGAGCCTACATTTAAAAAGCCATCTCCTTTGCTTTCCAGGTCAGGTTTTTCTCTTTGACATCACTAACAAAACAGCCCGGAGGAGCCATCTGCACTGCAGGTCTCCATTCCTCTTCACCAGCCCACTTACTCCTCAGTTCTTGTGCTGGGACTCCCGCTGCCACTATTAACTGGACTTTTAACTCAGAGGTCCCCCAAGAGTAGCCTCTTGATGAAGCCAGTTACTGTATGCTCTATTCTCAACCCTGACCTGCCTTGACCCTCAACAGCACCAGATCCAGCTGGCCAGCCTTCCTTTACAAAAGTGACACTCAGATTCACATCTGTGTCCTGACTGAATTGTCTCCAGTGTCACTGTACTGGCTCAGAGTTCATGCTAGATTCCATGGTGCACAATCCCAGTCATCCAGCAAGCCTGTGCTGAGTGCAGATTTGGGGCCAAGTCTGGGCTGAGCAGTTGGCACCAGAGAGAACAAAAATTCATTCATTTATTCATTCATGTTGAAGGGCCTCCATGTGCTCAGCTCTGGGACACAAGACATATATTGCTTTTGTGGATCTTACAGTCCTGTGGGGAAGGCCAATTTAAATACAGTTACATGAATCTTTTCAAATTATAATTGTTATATATGCTACAAACAAAGTGGTTTGTTAGAATATATCCAATTTTTATCTCAGAGGACAAGAAACTGCAGAGACACACAAAATGTGTCTCCCATTTCACAAAGCTCAAAGCTTACTGTATGTCTAGTAGCCCAAATGCATGCTCTTGAATGTCTTTTCATCTAAGTCAGCACATTCAAATCTAATGTGCAGGTGGGGGGTGGTGTGGAGCTTTCTGGGTTGTAATAGTTAATTTTTCGTGGAACACTGACAGAAAAACCATGTGAGGAAGCAGGCCTATTTTCCCTTCCCCTTCCTGTTTTCCAGACTAGGAATGTATAAAATTACCTGTCAAGATGCCACAGCCAATAAGTGGAAAAGAACCAGCATTCAAGTCAGGCCTCCCCAATAACAAAATGGGGTTCTTCCCACTATACCATGGTGACCCCATCATTAGGGCAATGAGAGCCGGCTCTAAGCAGCCCATCACACTTCAATCCCACTCCCTAAGCTAGATTTCCCTTACCCGGCTCTGCTGTCCCATCAGACCTCAGCTCTCTCTCCACACATCTATCTAGGCCATCACCAAGTCATTAGTTTCCCCTCCCAACTACCTCTTGAATCCACTTCTCTCCATCTCCTCTGCCACCACACCAGTCTGAGTTGTCATCATCTCTCAGCCTCCTAATTGGACTGCCAGCATCTACTCTTACTCCCCTCCGATCTGTCTTCTGCACTGAAGCCCAAATGATCCTTTTTAACATGCAGACTGGAATGGCAATCCCAAGGTTAAAATCCTTTTTCAGTGGCTTTTCAGGGTGCTCAGAACAAAGACAGAATCTTTAATGTGGCTTCCAAGGCCCTGCTGGACGGCCTCTTGGGCCATGCGCCCTTTCTCTCTTGGGTCCCCGCCACCATGGCTGAGGTTCTCTCTGACTGGAATCCAACACTCTTTAGTCTCTTCCACCTCCACCTTCCCCCAGCCAATTCCTCTGCATCCTTTAGATCTCAGTGCAAAATTGGTCCCTCAGAGAAGTCCTTCTCGATTTCCTAGGACAGATCCTGCCCCTCTTTATATGCACTCTTGGAACTTGATACCTTTTCTCTTAATGTTCTCAAGATGTATAATTACTTATTCATTTATGTGTTTGATTTTTACATTTTGCATTTGTTTAGTGTCTGTCTCCATCACTTAGATTCTAAGCCCTGTACGGGCAGGGACTGTCTCTGGAGCTCGCCACTGTATTCTCCATGCATGTCACAGTGCCTGGCTCCATAAACACTTGTTCTGTGAATAAAATGTCTTTAACACTCTCCTAGTGCCCTGTTAGTCAACCTAATTTCTTCAAGTGACCTCAAGACCCTCCACGATCTGGTCGTAGATCCCAGACTGAGCTCCTGGTGCCACCCACCTGGGTTACCTTGTCGAAACTTCAGGCTTGACTTGGCACATTTTCTAATAGCTTCCCCATCACCTAGGATGCCCTTCCTCCTCCTGCCTGGTTAAATTCTCTTCTCCATGGAATGAGGTCCCTTATTCTCTCCTCTGGACTTCAGTAGAATCTATGAGGAGGAAGTTTATTTTGACTATTGTGTTCCGATGAATTGTCATGAATTATTGTGCCTGGTATCACCTCCTAGCAATGAATCTAGTTTATTTTCAGTTTAATTTCCTGTTCAGATGTTTTGTTCTGTTGTAAAATACACTGGACTTCAAGAAATCTCTTCCCAGTTTTCTAGCCTAAGGCAGAGCTGGTGTTAGTTGCTAGGATGTTGCTAGGGAAAATCATTTAACCAGGGCATATAATTAACTTTATCAGTGTGTATGCGTAAGTCATAGAAGAGAAGAGCTGGGGGCTTCCCTTCTGCTAGAAAAAAAAAGATCCATTTGATTGGGAAAAGTTCAGATCAGCCTCCTTCTCGCACCTTCTCTTTAACGGAGAAGGAAAGAAAAAGGAGTTTCTGGATTAGTGTCTTTCTGAGTATGGCTATTGAAACATAAGCATCAGATGTTTGCCTCAAATGCAGATTCCAAAATCCCATCCCAGACCTATTGAATTGGTACTTTGAGCAAATTCATACTGAAGTTTAGGAAATCACTGTGCTGGAGTTTACGACTTAGACATGAAGTGCAGCCATCCATATAACTTCCACGGCTCCAGTGAGCTTAGCTCCCTCCACACCAGCTGCCTCCCCCACAGAAACATCCTCAGCTTTGGAAGTCTTGATTCTGAAGAGCCCTTTCCTTCCACCATCAGCTTTCCCATTTCCTCACCCACTTGCCTTGACTCCTCGGTGTCACTGAGACCTACAATTGCTTACTCACTTCTGATTTTTCCCCACCTATCTTGTTGTCAGTTCCTTCCTGTCTGGACACAGTGCCTAACCATTTTAACTGCATCCTCATCAACACTCTTTATTAGGTTACCTCCTTATTCCTTTAACTAACCCCATCCCTAGATCAGCTAAGCTGAACAACAGAACTATGCCAGACCATCTGAGTTCTGCTGCACAAAACCTGGCAACCCCACCAAGAGCCTTACTACAAACTCATGAACTCTATTCTTAACCATAGCTCTTAAATGTATTCCTCATCAGTTTCCTTTCCCATTCTTCATAGTGTCTTCTGTCTTGCTTCTAATCCTTATCATTTTATTTCAAGCTTGCTATATCACGTATTTCACCCTCAAATAAAGGATCTTTGACATGAACTTCTTCAAATCTGTTTCCTCTATCCTCCTACCAAACTCTGGCAAAACCCAAGTTCATTTTTTGCCTTGGAGGAAGAATTTTGATTCTTTAATTCTTCCTGGTCCCTTCCTGCCTTCCGCTGAACGCTGAGTAGAGTGTGATCCTCTCTCTCTTGTATTTGTTTACTTTCCTTCCTGTTCATGTCCTTAGCCTGCAGACTTGGGTAAGTCTTCCCTACCCTGGAGGGTAGCAGGAGAGGGGGTGGGGAGGTGAGGTGGCACTGGGCACGACGCTGGACCTTTCACCAGTTTTCTTTCCCTCTCCAGCTGTTCTCTTACCATGTTTCAGAATCAAAGTCACTGAAAGAGGTGACCTCCCTTGTAACCTCTGCTCCCTCTGCTCCCATTCATTTTTTTCCATGCAGTGCAGTTTGGGATCAGCTGATATCTCTTTACTGAAACTGCTCCAACAGAGGTCACCTAAGACCTCCTAACTGCCATGGTTATGGTCTGAATTAAAATAGGCAAATGCTGTTAGTAAGGGTCCTGTGATTATACGGCTGAGTGGAAGAAAGCTCATCACTAGAAG